ATTATATATATAATTTATTGCCATAATTATAATTTTGTTAAATTTTAAAATAATTATAAAAATTAATTAAATAAAATATATAATTATTACTAAATTACCCATACATGCCCCTTCAACCCAATCAAACATTCTAACCAAATGTATCTTAGATCCAAGAAATATGATGATATACTGCAATTTATTAATGGCCAGCTTGAAAATTTCAAATCACTAATTATGCCTATGCTTTGCGTATGCTTTTATTTCAAATATTTTAGCCAAATCATAGACTTTGATGAAATTGCGTATGCTTCCTTCATTTGATATGCCTGTTCTTTTATAAGAATTAGGTAAAAATTACCATCGAAATTGCTTTGATAAAAAATTAATACTGAAAAGTACTTTGGTTTTTATTTTTTGTTTATGATTTTCCACAAACTATTCTAATATTTGATGGCCGGTACCATCCCACCGATTGCCACCCGTCGGCCCAAAAATAATAATAATAATAACTTTTAGAAACCATAACAACCCCTATTTATGCAAAAGAATCCTACATCACTACGTGAACTCTAAACTACACAAATTGACCCTCTCATTTTCCGTCAATCATGACTACCTCTTCTCAAAATTCTACTGTGAAAGAACTCCTTGATTCGAACGATCAGAATGTCACAACTTTGCCATCCCATTACATCACTCGTAGCCCAACCAGCAACGCAGCCGAGCTCATCCACGCTGAAGAAATTCCCACAATCGACTTCTCCCTCCTCAAATCCAAATCCCCCTGCGAAAGAGCAAAAATTGTTCAGAAATTAGGCCAAGCCTGTGAGAACTGGGGCTGCTTCATGGTAACCAATTCAAAACCAACAAATGTTGATAATTTTTGTTCCATGAACAATCAACTTGTAACTAAGAAAACAGAATCAGAAACACAAAGAAAAAAATGATTTTGCTGATGCACACATATTAATTTCTTCTTATTGAATTTTCGAAGCACAGATGTTATTGGTTTGTACAGGTTGCGAACCATGGAGTGCCAGAGGAATTGAGAACATCAGTAATGGAAGCGTTCGCTGCTTTCTTTGATCTGCCGGCAGAGGAGAAGGAAGATTGCAAGAGGAAGCAGCTGTTTGACTCTGTTGTTTGTGGTACGAGTTTTAATCCGACGGTGAAAGGTGTGAGTTATTGGAGGGATTTTTTAAGGATTGTGGCGTCCCCAATCATTGACTTTCCCAAACAGCTTCTTGCTTTCAGGTTTTTGTTTTATGTCCTTCTTAGTGATGGATTTGCTCTATTAAATGATTTAATAGTTAAGTTTGCAATTGGATTTAAAGAGAAAAAAAACAAAAAATCAGGTGCAAAGAAACTGGTTTATTTTTGCGAAAATTAATTTGAAGTGCAAGAGAAATCATATATGATAATCTTTTACCATAAGACATTGGTCAACATTTTAATAAAATGTTGGTCACGTAAATTTGTTTAACAGAGTATCAATCATATATGCGTTTTAGTTGGATAGATAAATCAATAAAATTTGTGGGAGTGTTTTATCTCAACTACCTTAAATATATGCTTATACATTAACCATTGGAAATATTGATATTTACAAATTAGCCATCAAGTTAATTTTTTTGAACCAGCGATATATTTATGCATGCAAAGTTCAAATTATAGAGAATTTAATGAAAATGAAAAATATGGATTAGGATTTTACCTTTAATTTTAATATTTGAGTTGAGAATTTGAAAAATGGATAGATGTTGGTAACATAATTTTAATATAATTCTTTTAATCTGCAATTTTTCTCTTAAATACAACAAAAAATTCACGATGATGAGTAACAAATAGCAAGTTGATCAAAACTAGATTGAGCTCACAAGAGTTCGCGAGGCAAACTAGAGAGATCGTGAAGGAATTAATGAGAGGAATAAGTGAAAGCTTGGAGCTGGAAGCGAATTACATGGAGGAATTTTTTAATATGGAAAGTTGCCACCAAGCTATGGTAGGAAATCTGTACCCTCCGTGTCCTCAGCCCGAGCTGGCTTTGGGTCTCCCTCCTCATTCCGACGCTGGCATTCTCACTCTGCTCATGCAAAACAGCAGCTTTCCCGGCCTTCAGGTTATGCACCATGGCAAATGGGTACCAGTCCAGCTCATACCTAGCTCCTTCTTCGTTATCGTTGCGGATTTCGTTGAGGTATGTATGTACAATTTATTAGTTGCATTCAGTACGCGACATGCATGCAATTTTGAACTCAGTATATAGAGAGTGTGTCTCTTTGTCAAAGGACGAAATACCATATGATAAGGAGAGAAAAATTTACGTACGTAAGACGGATGCAGCATTGTGTACATCAAGAAGGTTATTCAGAAGATATTAACAGATTATATACATATTATAACCTCTATAATCTCTCTGTAACCTACTTATAACTTATAAAAATATGAATGCATAACTTACTAGAAGGTACAGATAAGTTATAGGGAGGTTACAGGGGGTATAACGCGGATATTACCCCCAATATCCTTTGAATAACCTCCCAGACGTACGCAATGTTCCGTACGTCTTACACATGCAAATTTTTCTCAATAAATCCTCTCGAACGGATTTATTATATACCATGTATTTCTTATTTTATATAAGGAGAAAATTGAGAAAATTAACACATAAATGCAACATGAAAACGAAAGAAAAAAAAAAGCATCAGAATTTTAACATGCAACATACAATAATCATTCACATGATTAATTACGCAGATACCACCCTTCTTTTTCATAAATGATAATTACATTTATTCAAGCCATCATACAAGAAACCCCACGTAATTAAATACATAGTGACAAAGAAAGAAAGGAATTTAACAAATTAAACAGTGCTTGTGAGGTTGAGCGGCAACTGACAAAAATATTCCACTGGAGACAGCTTAATGATAAGGACAACACCAACATCAATCATGTTTTCGAAACCTGCACTAACGCGGGCTATCAAGCCGGCGCAGCCGCCGCATCAGTACACTTCTTGCTTACGTCGACAAACAGCTTTTCCAGTTAACACAGATACCATTTAATTTCTACATATTTAAATATCTAACATACACCTACTTTCTATATTTATAGCGCTCAAATTTTTTACATCACGCTAAAAATATCATCACTTTTAAAGTGTTATGCATGTAAAAATTAAAGTTTAGGGGTTAAAAATGTAAATACATAAGAATTGAGTGATATGTATGTAAATCTTACAAAGTCAAATATAGAGGAGAAATTCATGTTAAGAACTGCAAGCTAATTTACAAACACGAGAAGCCTCATTTAAAAAAATAAAAAAAAAGGATGATCGCATTATATTAAAGCGCATCTGCCACACAACAAATATTATTATAATTTTTTTCATTTAATTATCGAACGAAAGTTCAAAAAAGTTTCGATTAACAGCGGGACTTTTACATTTATTGAAACAGATATTTAGTAACGGCAAATACAGGAGCGCGCTGCATAGATCCGTGGTTGACGAGAAGAGCACGAGGATTTCAGTACTAACTTCGATTGGGCCACCATTGGAAGGTGTTGAGGTTGCTCCTGCACCCAAATTGATTAAAGACAAAATATGGCTGCTGCGTTCCGTGGCATCACATACAAAGAGTACGTCGAACTGCACCAAACTAATCAGTTGAACAAAAGTTCTCTTGCAGTTATTAGACTGGGACTATCCAACTGATGAAGGGATTTGATAGAGCTTGCATTTTCCTTGTGGAATGCTGTTATGGTTGTTTTTATTTTAATTATGGGGTTTATCTTAATGACCCTGGGCAAGCGTGAAATTTGCTGAAAACTCAACTTAGCTTAATTATAATTTGAGAATTTTGAGATTTATGTAAATTTTTTTGGTTTTCAAAGCCAAATTTCAAACGCCAACTAAAAATGAAAGATTTTTTAGTACTTAACACACATTAAATTTTTCTGAAAATAAAAAACTAACTAACCACATAACGGTTTCCTAACCGCCTAAAACATGAAAAATGTACAATGGTTTTCCTAACCGCCTAACCACATAACGGTTTTCCTAACCGCCTAAAACATGAAAAATAAACAATTGTTTTCCTAACCGCCTAACCACATAACGGTTTTCCTAACCGCCTAAAACATGAAAAATGTACAATTGTTTTCCTAACCGCCTAACCACATAACGGTTTTCCTAACCGCCTAAAACATGAAAAATAAAAAAACCATAAACAATTTCTGGAGACAACTAGATTAACTCAACAATCTCCTCCTTAAGCTTGTTGTCCTTCACTGACGATTCGCACACCAATCTTTTCTCTCATCTCCAAGAACTTCAATCTTGTAAGTGACTTTGTCATTGCTGATATTCTGTGCAAATATGTTGAATTTCAATCATTCTAGATTCAACACAATTTCTAATGTAGTGGAATCGAGTATCGATGTGTTTGCTCCTCTCATGGTAAACTGAACTCTTGCTTAATGCAATTGCGGACTGATTATCAATCTTCAGAACTACTTTCTTAACTTCGGTTTTTAACAAATCTGTCAATAGTCGTCCTAGCCACATTCCTTGACACGCTGATGCACAGGCAGCGATGTACTCCGCTTCACAGGAAGATAACGCAACCACTTTCTGTTTTTGTGAACACCAACTAATAGGACTTGACCCAAGAAAAAATATTAAACCTGAGGTACTTTTCCTATCATTAGTGTCACGAGCTAGATCACTATCTGAGTAACCGATCAGCTCCAAGAGCTAGATCACTATCTGAGTAATCGATCAGCTCCAAGCTTGCTTTCTTCTTTTCATAAACACAACCGAGGTTTAAAGTTCCTTTCACGTACCGCAATATGTGCATCACTGCGGTCATGTGCTCCGTTTTGGGCCTTTCCATGTATCTACTCACCATGCCAACAGGCATGCAAATTTTTCTCAATAAATGATCCCGAACGGATTTATTATATACCACGTGTTTCTTATTATTATATAAGGAGAAAATTGAGAAATTTAACGCATAAATGCAACATGAAAACGAAAGAAAAAAAAAGCATTAGAATTTTAACATGCAACCTACAATAATCATTCACATGATTAATTACGCAGATACCACCCTTCTTTTTCATAAATGATAATTACATTTATTCAAGCCATCATACAAGAAACCCCACGTAATTAAATACATAGTGACAAAGAAAGAAAGGAATTTAACAAATTAAACAGTGCTTGTGATGTTGAGCGGCAACTGACAAAAATATTCCACTGGAGACAGCTTAATGATAAGGACAACACCAACATCAATCATGTTTTCGAAACCTGCACTAACGCGGGCTATCAAGCCGGCGCAGCCGCCGCATCAGTACACTTCTTGCTTACGTCGACAAACAGCTTTTCCAGTTAACACAGATACCATTTAATTTCTACATATTTAAATATCTAACATACACCTACTTTCTATATTTATAGCGCTCAAATTTTTTACATCACGCTAAAAATATCATCACTTTTAAAGTGTTATGCATGTAAAAATTAAAGTTTAGGGGTTAAAAATGTAAATACATAAGAATTGAGTGATATGTATGTAAATCTTACAAAGTCAAATATAGAGGAGAAATTCATGTTAAGAACTGCAAGCTAATTTACAAACACGAGAAGCCTCATTTAAAAAAATAAAAAAAAAGGATGATCGCATTATATTAAAGCGCATCTGCCACACAACAAATATTATTATAATTTTTTTCATTTAATTATCGAACGAAAGTTCAAAAAAGTTTCGATTAACAGCGGGACTTTTACATTTATTGAAACAGATATTTAGTAACGGCAAATACAGGAGCGCGCTGCATAGATCCGTGGTTGACGAGAAGAGCACGAGGATTTCAGTACTAACTTCGATTGGGCCACCATTGGAAGGTGTTGAGGTTGCTCCTGCACCCAAATTGATTCAAAGACAGAATATGGCTGCTGCGTTCCGTGGCATCACATACAAAGAGTACGTCGAACTGCACCAAACTAATCAGTTGAACAAAAGTTCTCTTGCAGTTATTAGACTGGGACTATCCAACTGATGAAGGGATTTGATAGAGCTTGCATTTTCCTTGTGGAATGCTGTTATGGTTGTTTTTATTTTAATCATGGGGTTTATCTTAATGACCCTGGGCAAGCGTGAAATTTGCTGAAAACTCAACTTAGCTTAATTATAATTTGAGAATTTTGAGATTTATGTAAATTTTTTTGGTTTTCAAAGCCAAATTTCAAACGCCAACTAAAAATGAAAGATTTTTTAGTACTTAACACACATTAAATTTTTCTGAAAATAAAAAACTAACTAACCACATAACGGTTTCCTAACCGCCTAAAACATGAAAAATGTACAATGGTTTTCCTAACCGCCTAACCACATAACGGTTTTCCTAACCGCCTAAAACATGAAAAATAAAAAAACCATAAACAATTTCTGGAGACAACTAGATTAACTCAACAATCTCCTCCTTAAGCTTGTTGTCCTTCACTGACGATTCACACCCCAATCTTTTCTCTCATCTCCAAGAACTTCAATCTTGTAAGTGACTTTGTCATGCTGATATTTTGTGCAAATATGTTGAATTTCAATCATTCTAGATTCAACACAATCTCTAATGTAGTGGAATCGAGTATCGATGTGTTTGCTCCTCTCATGGTAAACTGAACTCTTGCTTAATGCAATTGCGGACTGATTATCAATCTTCAGAACTACTTTCTTAACTTCGGTTTTTAACAAATCTGTCAATAGTCGTCCTAGCCACATTCCTTGACACGCTGATGCACAGGCAGCGATGTACTCCGCTTCACAGGAAGATAACGCAACCACTTTCTGTTTTTGTGAACACCAACTAATAGGACTTGACCCAAGAAAAAATATTAAACCTGAGGTACTTTTCCTATCATTAGTATCACCAACTAGATCACTATCTGAATAACCGATCAGTTCCAAACTTCCTTTCTTCTCATAAACACAACCAAGGTTTAAAGTTCCTTTCACGTACCGTAATATGTGCTTCACTGCAGCCATGTGCTCCGTTGTGGGCCTTTCCATGTATCTACTCACCATGCCAACAGAGAATGCCAAATCTGGGCGCATGTGCAGTAGATATCTTAAACTGCCAACAATACTTCGATACAAAGTTGTTTCTACAGGTGGACCTGTGCTTTCCTTACTCAGTTTTAGATGAGGTTCCATCGGAATTTGCGAAGGGTTGCAATCTTTCATGCCGCATTTGTCTAAAACCTTTCTTGCATATGCCGACTGATTAAGTGTAATCCTTTGAGAATTTTGACATACTTCAATTCCCAAATAGTAGCTTAGTAACCCAAGGTCACTCATGCTAAACAATTTCTTCATCTGTGATTTGAACTTGTCTATGTCTTGAATACACTCTCCAGTGATGATTAAATCATCCACGTAGACTCCAACAATTAAAATCCTTTTACTTTGATTTCTCATGTACACGGCATGCTCTAAAGAACACCTCTCAAAACTGAGTGTCCTCAATGATTTGTCCAGTTTTGAGTTCCAGGCTCTAGGTGCTTGACGCAAACCGTACAATGCTTTGTGCAGTTTTAACACCTTGTGCTCTTCTCCCTTTATTTCAAATCCCGGCGGTTGAGTGACATACACTTCCTCTTCCAAATCACCGTTGAGGAAGGCTGACTTCACATCCATATGATGAACCTCCCATCCTTCATGTGCCGCAAAATAGAGAGCAGCAAACATACTGCTCTAGCCGAGCAACAGGGGTGAAAATTTCATCAAAGTCTATGCCTTGTCGTTGAACGTATCCCTTTGCCACTAATCTCACCTTATGCTTCATAATTCTACCTTGAGTGTCCTTCTTTAGCTTGTAAACCCATTTTAGACCTATAGGTTTGTGGCCTTCGGATAATGAGACGAGCTTCCAGGTTTCATTCCTTCGAATGGAAGAAAGTGTCCTCAATGACTTGTCCAGTTTTGAGTTATAGGCTCTAAGTGCTTGTCGCAAACCGTACAATGCTTTGTGCAGTTTTAACACCTTGTGCTCTTCTCCCTTTATTTCAAATCCCGACGGTTGAGTGACATACACTTCCTCTTCCAAATCACCAATGAGGAAGGCTGACTTCAAATTCATATGATGAACCTCTCATCCTTCATGTGTCGTAATAGAGAGCAGCAAACATACTGCTCTAGCCGAGCAACAGGGGTGAAAATTTCATCAAAGTCTATGCCTTGTCGTTGAACGTATCCCTTTGCCACTAATCTCACCTTATGCTTCATAATTCTACCTTGAGTGTCCTTCTTTAGCTTGTAAACCCATTTTAGACCTATAGGTTTGTGGCCTTCGGATAATGAGACGAGCTTCCAGGTTTCATTCCTTCGAATGGAAGAAATTTCCTCCTCCATTGCTTTTCTCCACATCGGGTCTGCCTTAGCTTCTTCGAGAGTTGATGGCTCCTCCTTTCCTAGCAAACACAATCCCGAATAATCTAGTTCTATTGGGAAGGTTTCATTGTAAAGGCTTTTGATGTCACGCTTACCCCATGGTCCTTCTAATGAACTCTCATCAAATGTTGTGGGCTGCACTACTTCTGTCGAGGCCGAACCATCAAGAGCATCAAAAGTTGTATCTGAAGTGTGTGGTGTCAATGAATCAGGGTCTGAAACAGATGTTCTGGATCTCATGTTCATCACTGGTGAAGCATGCTGGTATTGGTTATCAGTTTGTTCCCGTGTCGGTTGTGGGAAATCCATACCAGAATTTCTGATACCAATATCAGAACCGTTGAACGTCTCTTTATCTTCATGATTTGTCGTATCAGATGCACCTGCTATGGTAAAATAATGTGTTGTAAGAGTTTTCCCTGCTGATCCTGTACCTATTACTGGAGATTTACTCCACTCCCACTTCTTCTTCTCCTCGAACACTGCATCTCGTGTCACCACAACTCATCTTGTCATTGGACCAAACATTCGACAACCTTTCATGTTCATATCATAACCAATGAACACCATTTGATTGCTACGATCAGCCAACATTGGATGATGCGGTGTAACTACTTTTACATGTGCAAGACAACCGAAAATACGAAAATGATCGACACTTGGCTTGCGGTCATAATATGCTTCATAGGGAGTTTTGCAGACCACACTCTTTGTTGGTGCTCTATTTAAGATATATACGATAGTTGATACCGCTTCTCACCAAAATTCGCCCGGGACTCCCATACTTTTCAACAAGCTCCTTGCCATGCCGACCACCATCTGATTTCTTTGTTCAACAACTCTGTTCTGCTGAAGAGAATAAGGCGCCGTGAGATAACACTTAATTCCCAACAGCTCACAGTAAGTCTTGAACTCATTTGAGATGAATTCACCGCCACGATCCGTGCGCAAAACTTTCAGCTTACTGTTTTTCTCCATTTTGGTTGCAGCTTTGACCTTATTAAATGCCTCAAATGCTTCATCATTGTCTCGGACAGGCACTTGCCACATAAATCTTGTACAATTGTCAACCAACAACAAGAAATAGCTCTTCCCTCCGTGAGTAGCAGGGGTAATTGGGCCGCACAAATCTCCATGCCACAGTTCAAGAGGTGATTCTGCTCGGAATTTTGCCACTGCTGGAAAAGGATTTTGGTGTTGCTTTCCAATCAAACAACCATCACAGATGCGGTCCTCATGCTCGATTTTGGGCAAGCCGTGCACCATCTTTTTCTGACTTAGAAACTTCAAAGCAAGAAATTTCACATGCCCGTATCTTGCATGTCATTACCATGCTTCTTCTTTGCTCATAACCAGAAGGCATTCGAGGAGAGCTGGTGCAATGTTAAATATATATAACCAGTTGTTTGACCTGTTTATTTTTGCTAGTAGCCTTTGTGATCTGTCCAAAAAAGTTATAACATCTCCTTAACCTCAACCTTGCATCCGTTCTCATCTAACTGGCCAAGGCTTATTATGTTGCTCTTCAACACCGGGATGTAGTAGACATGAGTAAGTATTTGATGTTTGCTTGTGAAGCCTTCAAACAAAACCGAACATCTTCCTTGGATTTCTACAGCCGAGCTATCCCCAAATTTGACCGACCCATTAATTGTTGTGTCAATTTTAGCAAATTTTTCGATACAACCGGTCATGTGGTTACTTGCACCGGTACTTCCTCTCGGGTGCTTTTAAACTTTGGCACCACCTTGTCTTCATGCAATAACACATCAAAACTCTTCCTAGAATTTCTACAGTCGAGCCATCCCCAAATTCGACTGACCCTTTAATTGTCGTGTCAATTTCAGCAAATTTTTTTATACAACCGGTCATGTGGTTACTTGCGCCGGTATCTAAATACCAAACTTCCTCTCGGGTGCTTTTAAACTTTGGCACCACCTTGTCTTCATGCAATAACACTTGCTCGTTCTGTATTGCGTGGCTTAGAACACAAGTTTCTATCATCAACAATGCTGGTTCATCTTGGGTTTGAGTTGTAACAAGGTTTGCTTTTTCTCTTCGGTTTGGTTTGGGACACTCTTTTGCAAAAT